TGAGTAGCAAAATAACAAAGAAAAATGCATTTGAGGGAATGAAGCTCACCACTGTGATGTACATGGACAAAGCTTATACAATCAAAGACTCAAGGAGGAAGATGATTAACATAGATGGTAAGCAAGAAGTAATGAAGACCTGAAGTGGAGTTTGGTATTGTAGAACTTTGGAAAGCATCCGATTGATCAAATAGGCTGCTGTGAGAACAACCTCCCCTTGATATGACTTTGGTACTATCATGGATAAAAGCAGAGAACAGGATACTTCGAGAAGATGGTGATTTTTCCATTCGGCTACTCCATTTTGTTGTAGGGTATCGGTGCAATAAGTTTAAAGGATAATGCCATGATTAGAAAAATAGGATTGGAGACCAGAATAAATGTACTCATCCCCATTATCAGAGCGGAAGACTTTTATCTTTGAATTTTGTTATTTTATTCGACTGCATTGTTGAATCGTTGTGGCATGCGGTGTCCTTTTTATTCTTTTTCATTGCCTTCCAAGTCTTACAAGAGTTGTCCGAAGTGGTTGATAATTATTAAATTCCCAATTCACCTACACACGTACATCGTTAGAACTTAGAAGTTAAAACCTAATCCTTCAAGGTCATCACTTTCATGCTTGGTAGACCAACCGAATCCCATTTGATTTATTTATTTTTCCTCTCTTTTTCTCCATTTATTTTTCCTCTCTTATTCTCCAACTCTAGACCTAGAGGTCAGCCACACAAGCCAATTCCTAAGCCAAAGAGGCCTTAAGAGGATTGGTAATCGATTTGATTTAGATCTCCAGTACCCTAGAAATGTTTAAAGCTCTCTCCTATATTGTCTTTTTATCTCCGTAAAAGTAGGTGGCTAAAAATTTGTTTCCTTTTTTTTTTATTTTTTATTTTTTTTTTAACTTATACTATGCTTGGTACAGTGGAAAAAATGAAAGGGTATGTTGATTAAATAAGAAGAGTAAAGAAAGGAAATAAGGAAATAGGGTTAATTGTTTATGTTGATTAAATAAGAAAAAAGATAGGAATTATGTTTAGGGAAAGAAAGGAAAGGAAACTATTTTAATGAATTTACAACTACACCATTTACCATAGATTTTGTTTTTTTAAAAGTAAGGGCAAATTTGTTATTAACAAAGTTTCATTAAAAATGCTAGCCTTTCCTCCCATTTTTGAGAGGGTAGCAAAACCAACTCATCAAGCTTTAATGTATCCCTCCAATCATTCCATTCCCTTTCTTTTCCTTCCAAAATTTATACCAAAATAATAATAATAATAAATAATTAATCTCTCTATTGTTCCATTTCTTCCCAACTAAACTGGCCCTTAACAAAAGTCTCTAATGCAGTGAAGTCATTATATTAGTGCAACACATGAGCTTTTTCGGATTTTTCTCCATAGTAGATATTGTGGGTATATTACTTTTTTTTTTTTTTCCTGAATGGTGAAAAAATTTATTGATACAGAAGAACAGTATAGTACAAAAGATAAGTGATCTTCTAAAAGAGATCACAAGAACAAGAAGCCAAATATAGTCTATGGCATACCCTAAAACCAAATACGAGACAAGAAAAAACTACTACATATCAGAAAGTAGCCTGCAAGTCCACTACAAAAACATTCTGAGAGCTTAAGCCTTCAAGGAAAGCTTCCCTAGCTATTTCAGTAGCTATAGATGATTGACCATCGTAGAGCACCTTATTCCTGTGATTCCATATGTTCCATATGATGGATGTGAAAAAACACCTTCATGATCTTACTCCTTATAGCGCGAGAGGACTGTGAAATGAACCAATTAGTGGCAGCCTCAAAATATGGAAGGAGTAAAAGCTTATCGCATTTACACACATCCTTAAACCATTGCTACACCTGTTGAGCAAATGGACAAGACCAAAATAAGTGATTATTTGAGTTTTATAAACAAATGTACAGGCCTAGAGAATGGGTAACCCTAAACACCTTACATACTCAATTGAGGAGTGACCCAAGCCCATTAATTTATCCCATTCCCATATACCTTAAAACTTCAAGGTAACCACCGTTGTAGTAGAGCCAACACATAGTGGTTTTCTTGGAAAATTCGTCGATTTCATTCATTCCAATTTCCACACATTGAATTTTTTTTTCTTTCATTTTTCCTTTCGTTCATTCCAATTTCCCTCCATTCTTTGGTGTATTTATTTGAGATTGCTTCATAATAAATCTAAACAATCAAATATTTTTTCCTTCTTCAATCATTGATTCAGAATTTTGTTTGAAAGATGTGCACTACAGTGCAGATTATGTTGGGATCATTGCGTTAATTTATGTTAAATCAAAGCATTGGATCTTTCAAGCCAACCTTGCTGTTTCCTTATATGTTTTATTAAAAATTTAAGGAATTATGTTTGAATAAATCACAGACATGGCCAATGTAGCATGGCGTGTGTATTATACATACTGATCTAACTAAACTTTTCTGCTTTTTTATTCTTGTAAGTAATTGAATCGTGTTCGGCTTCTAAAAACCGTAGTCCTTTCTAAGTGCAGAAAGGAGGGTGAGTGTCGGGCGTTCCAGGAACTGCTGTCATTCTAAAGTGGATATCCGAACAATTATCCAAAAGGAGATTGTAGGGATCAGGCGATTGTACGAAGGACTGGAATTACCACCTTCGGAGGTTCTTTTTGCCTTGAAAAAGGACTTTTGGACTAATCTATGGCTAGTGGAAATGAAAGCAGTATTGAAAGTGCAGGACTTCAAAGTAAAGTGCTGGAAATTAGAAACAATAAGTGCAGGACTTGAATTAAATATATTGAAGGTACATTACATGAACATAATTATACATGAATGTAAAGAAATTGAAGTGCTGTTGGGCTGTGTGATTTGAACAGGGTTTGCAAACTAGCTCTAAGTACTCTATTTATAGAGCTTTCCATGCATGCAGTAGCTTGATGTGGCAATTCCAGCGATTTCCACGTGGCCAGATTTTGGACTGCGAAGTGCCCCATGATCTCTTGGCAGTTGTAACTTCTTCCTTCCATCTTCTCCCTCCTCTGTTACAGACTTCAGCCATGTATATATCTTTTAAGTATGATTGCAAAATTTGTTCTCCATAATTCCCATATTTATGTATACCCCTGAAGTTAAATTTCCATTTGTCCTTTTAATAAATTAACATTTGTCCCACGATTTCTCATTCTCTTCTTTCAGACATGATTTAATTGAACTCGTTACCCATATTCTTTGACAACTACTTCAGTTAGTGGTAGCAATTGAATAAAATACCACCACCTTCAATTGATGTACCTTTGTTTAGCCAAGTGTCCCACGATCCTTGTAATCCCTTCCTTCTTTAGAGTCCTTCTCTCCCTCTAATTCCATATACCTTGCACATATATAGAAGTTATTCCAAGATCCACGTTTCCCTCATTTGACTGAACTTTCCTACTTGAGTCTTCCATAAACATCACGGCCTCCTGAATTTTAGCGTCTTCTTTACGTCGTGGGTTGGTCATCCTCAATTCCTGTAACTTCTCTTCGTCTAATTCAATTCCATATACATCATACAAAAGGAAGTTACTTGTAGACCCACGTTCCCTTATTCTTTGGATAACTTCTTCCAGTTAGACTTTTCTTTCTGATTTTAGAATCCATGGCGTCATGTACTCCTTTACTTTAGCAACTCCTCATCGTGGTTGTATTTTTAGTACAAATATATATACATACATATATATATATATATATATATATATACAAGCTTGCAAGAGAAAAGGAACGTGGGATGATTTGTATTTATGGATGCATATATATATACAAGCTTGCAAGAGAAAAGGAACGTGGGATGATTTGTATTTATGGATGCATATATATATATATGCATCCATAAATACAAATCATCCCACGTTCCTTTTCTTATATATATGCATCCATAAATACAAATCATCCCACGTTCCTTTTCTCTTGCAAGCTTGTATTTTAACTTAGCAAGTTTAGTAACTGAATATCTGCCAAAAATCCCTACAAAGTAGGAGAGATTTTTGGCACCACGTTCTCTTCCTTGCTTTGTCAACTTTGGTCTTGCCATAATGGGAAACCTCTAATTACTTAGGAAAACATGATTTTTACCCATAAACCTTCCATAACAACAATTCTTTAAAAGAATTGATATACTATGGCAAGTTCCATCGAACTCGCCATGTGTTGAGAGCCAATTGGTTGAATTTGTCTTGAATAATTGCATGAGGTTGCATGTATGGTAGTCTTTCCATGAAATAATCCTTTTTCTAAATAAGAGTATGTGGACCCTTGTTTTAAAGATGGCAAGTCCTCATAGGACTTACCTCTTTTCTTTTAAAATAGAAAAACCCCACATGGTAGGATTATACTGACCCACTTGTCTAATTACTACGTAATATTACATAGCTTTTAATAATAATTCATAAGAGTTGCGATCCAGCGTGGTAGGTTCCATTGGAACTCGCCAGATGTCCGCCTTTCCATTAGGCCAAAAATAATGGAGTAAAAATATGCCCCCAAAATTCCATGCCTTGTGGAACAACTTGATAATAAGGCATGGGATTTGAATTCCGCCATCATGAAGAAGAAAAAAAAGAAATTGAAGAAGAAGAAGTGGAAGTGGAAGTACTGGAAGAAGGAGAGGATGTTTTGTATAAAGCAAAGGGATAAGGAAAAGTTTTTCAGGTACTTTCAATATGGCTGGACTTAACTTGGAATTGCTAACATAGAAATGCATGTATATACAAGTGAGATGAGTAATTTCCAGTATGAATAAAACCTGGACTATGTAATGTAGCTACTTCTCAATGAAATGCTCCATACTTAGGAAATCAGCTGATCTTAGAAATTCCGCTAAGTCTACTTCATAACTTTAGCCAATGTACTTTTCCAAGTACTTAGCTTTTCCTTCTTAGAATGGCTGAAGTATGGCCATTACGCTTCCTTTCCAGCTTTTCGGTTTACTTGGAAAGGAAGCTACCAGCTAAGTTACGTGGCTGGTGGAATTATTCCGGATTTCCAGTTTTCATAGATGGAAGGGTGATACTCTTCCAATATACCCCATTCATAGGATGCTTGTGGGATCCTCCATCTATGTCCATTAATCTATAAGCACCTTTTCCAAGGATTCGTTCCACCAAGTAAGGACCATTCCAGTTAGGGGTCCACTTTCCATACCCTTTGTCTTTGACTCCTGGTGGAAATCTGACTTGCCATACTAGGTTTCCTTCAACAAATGTATTTGTCTTAACCTTCTTATTGTATGCCCGCATGACTTTCTTCTTTTGAGTAATAATATGGTCTAAGGCATTAAGATGAACTTCATCAAGGTTTTCCAATTCCACCAACATGGCATGGTTATAATTTGCTAGAGTGAGCCTATTTTGGAAAGCCACCCTTGCAGACCTAATGGTCATTTCTATTGGAAGAACGACATTATGTCCATATGTAAGCATATATAGTGTGACACCAATACTTGATCTTTTTGAATTTTTGTAAGCCCAAAGAGCCTCAGAAAGTAGGTGATGCCACTCCCTTGGATGGTTCTCAATCATCTTTTCAAGGATGTTGAGAGTTACTTTGTTGGAAGCTTTAGCCTGTCCATTTGATTGGACAAAATATGGAGTGGAACTGATCACTTGGACACCACACTCAGCACAATAATCAAGAACTTGGTTTCCAATAAAGGAAAGGCCTCTACTAGTGGTGATAGTTTTTGGAATTCCAAACCTATGAATAATGTGCTTCTTAATAAAATCAATCACTGTTAACTGCTCATAAGTCTTTAATGGAATTGCCTCCACCCATTTTGTAAAGTAATCTGTTGCCACCATAATATGAGTATGGCCATCTGTAGATGGTGGTGTTAACTTTCCAATGAAGTCCAAAGACTATCCTCTGAATGGCCATATTTTCACTATTGGTTGTATGTTTAAAGCTGGAAGTCTTTGGACCGGGCTATGTTCTTGACATGCTGTACAAGTTTTTGTAAACTCTATGCAGTCTTTTAATATACCTTCTCAACAGTCATCTCATTTTGATTCTCGCTTAATGTGCTCCGCATATTCCAAGGTGTGATTATGCCATCACTCTCATAGAATCATTCCTACCAAGGCATCTTAACAAAAGTCCATCTTCTTTACTCTTTTTATAGAGATCTCCATCAATCAAAATATAATGAGGTGCCAAAAGCTGAACTCTTTTGTCCACATTTGCACTAAGATCCTGCAAGAAATGAATAATTGGTGTTCTCCAATCATCCAAGCCTAATCCATCTATATTAACTTTAAAAATCTCCCATGTCTTCTTGGCAGGTTTGAATCTTTCTGGCTCGTCAGCTTAGAATGACTTGCCATCTCATGCCGTGACTCTATAGAAGGGCGAGTCCTTCTTCTGATTATGATTAAGGTCTCTTCTACACCCAGTGGAACTTTCACTCGAGAGGCTAGTTGTGTTAGATCATCAGCCTCCGTGTTCAAATGTCTTGGCCAATATTTGAGTTAGAAATCATCAAATTGGCAAAGTAATTCCAAGGCCAAAGAATGGAAAGGCCTTAAATGCCAGTTGAGACATCTATATTCTTTAGAAAGTTAGCTAAGTATCAAGTTGGAATCTCCAATAATCTGAACCTTCTCCACCTTTAGCTTTAGCAGGATTTCTAACCCAATAATTAGTGCCTCATACTCAGCTTGGTTATTTATACACTTGAAATCCAAGAAAAAAGAAAATGTGGTTTTTCTTCCCTTTGGTGAAATGATGACTATTCCAGCTCCTCGTCCATCACGAGTGCTTGATCCATCAAACATGAGAGTCCAAGATGTATAGTTAAGGTAGAGATTATCCACCTCGTCACATACTTCTGAATCTATCTTGGTAGAAGGATGATCTACTAGAAATTCTGCCACCGCCCTTCCTTTGACTGCCTTTCATGGAATATACTTAAAGGAAAACTCCATTAAGCCCAATGACCACTTCCAAATACGTCCAATGATCGAAGGCCTCGAAAGCATATACTTAATCAAATCTGTTTGAGAAATGATATACACAACTACTGGCAACATGTAGGTTCTTAACTTCATAGCCGCATAATATAAGGAAAGACACAACTTTTTAATAGAAGTATACCTACATTCCACTGGAGTAAGCAACCTACTTAGATAATAGATGGCTTGCTCCTTTCCCCATTCATTATTCTTAGTTAGAAGGGTTCTAATTGATTCATCAGTGGCTGATAAGTATAATTTTAAAGGCCACTTTTTAATTGGAGGCATTATCACTAGAGGGTTGGCCAGGTAGCTTTTCAAACCTTCAAATGCTTACTGGTGCTTTTCTGTCCACTTGAATTCTTCAGCACCTTTCAATTTCAGTAATGGATAAAAAGCATGAGTCTTTCCAGCATGGTTGGTAATGAATCTCCTTAAATATCCAACCTGGCCAAGAAATCTTTGTAATTCTTTCTTAGTGGCCGGTGGCTTTGCTTCAATAATTGCCTTTGCTTTATTTTGATCTATCTTAATACCTCTTTGGTGGACTAGGAAACCAAGGAAGTTTCCAGCTGAAACCCTAAAAGCACACTTCAAGGGATTCATCTTCAACTTGTGTTGCCTTATTCTTTCAAAAGCCATCTTTAAATTATGGAGATGTTGAGCCTTGGCCAAGGATTTGATGACTACATCATCAATGTAGACTTCCAAGAAATGGCCAATCATGTCATGGAAAATGCCATTCATGGCCCTTTGATATGTTGCTTCAGTATTCTTAAACCCAAATGGCATGACAACCCATTCAAAAGTTCCAATGGAACTTAGACATTTGAAGGCTGTCTTAGAAATATCTTCTTCTGCAATGTAAATCTGGTTGTACTCGGAATGCCCATCCATGAATGAAAGAATTTCATTCTTGGTAGCAGAATCTACTAACTGGTCAGCAACAGGTATAGGGTATTCATCTTTGGAGTTGTAAGATTTATATTCCGGAAATCCACACATACCCTTAACTTGCTATTCTTCTTAATAATTGGAACTATGTTGGAAGTCCAGTCAACATACCTGATGATTCTTATAATAACAGCCTTATGTAGCCTTTCTATCTCTTCTTTGACCTTTAGAACAACTTCTTGGGACATCTTTCTTGGAGGCTGCTTGAAAGGGTTGAAACCTTCCTTGATTAGCAGCTTATGCTCTACCAGTTCTCTGGAAAGTCTTGGCATTTCCTCATACATCCATGCAAAGTAATCTTTATATTCATGAAGTAAGGAAATCAATTCTTTTCTAAAGGTTGGTTCCAGAAGCTTACTGATGTAGGTAGGCCGAGGGTCTTGCTTCATTCTAAGATTAACTTCCAAAAGTGGATCCTGCACTTTGGCCTTGAGATCATCTAACTTCATTGGTGCTGCCTTCAAGTCTGTTAGTTGGATAGCATCCAACTTGTCTTCAGTATCCTCCATAATCTCCAACACATTGGTAAAAAATAAGGTACTAGCAGTTGCAGTCCTTTTCAGCCGTAGTTCAGCTAGGTATGCTTTCAACCTAGCAAGGCAGCAATTAACCGCCTGGCCAAGTATTCTATCTTCTTTAGGTTTCTCTTTAATAAAAACTTTTGTTTGAAATATAGTGCTGAACATCAGCCTTGGGTAGAATTGTTAGGCTTGGTGTTCCTCAGAAAAGCTCCTTTACATCCTCTTCTGTTAGAGTTCTTCTCATGGTAGCCTTCCTTGGATGACCCTTGCTATCCTTTCTAATAAATCTGATTGGAACAAATTCTTCACTATATAACTCAGCATCCGTATAGTAAACCCTTGCCACAAATGGCTAGTTATCAGCCTCCACTACTTTTACCTCATCACCATCCTAAAATATCAGCATTTGATGGAGTGAAGATAAAATGCAAAAGTTTGGGTGAATCCATTCGCGACCTAAAAGCAAGTTACAGGCCGCTGTGGACTCAATAACAAAGAAAGCAGTGATAGAAGTTCTATCTCCCATCGTTAATTCCAATGGTAGAATGCCTTGTGTCTTCACTACTCTTCCTATGAATCCACTAATGGATACATCAGTTAGAATGATATCTTCAGTCGACTTTCCAATCATTCGCATGACATTGACTAGAACAACGTTTAATACTAAACCATTATCTACCAGAACTCTTGCCAAAGGTCTCCCTTCCACCAGTACCTTAATATATAGAGGCTTGAGCTACTGAGTCGTGCTATATAGTGGCTTTTCCAGAACGATCTTCTTTGGTTTTGTGGGGCTGTGTTCTTCAATCACAACTCCCTTTAATTTTTGAAGACGCTCAGTTTCATCTTCGAAAACCTTTTCTATATGAATACCATTATTGGGTTCCATTACAAATGGCCTAGAGCTAGACTATCCAGGGTTTTCCAAGGGAGGACTTGTATCTACTACATCTCCTTCCATTGAAGTTAGTTGATTTGGATGTGACTCAAAAAATAAGGGAAGAACCACTACCATATTACAAGTAAATTCACCTAGAAGGTTCCCAAAATAGATCTTCTTACTACCATTGGAACTGTTGGAGATTTCCAAGTCTATTATATCTTTTGTAGGAGGGTTGTCTGCAGTCAAGGAATTTCCAACTTCTGAAACCAAATCCAATAAATCATCAGGGTCTCTAACTCGTCATTTAGCTGGAAGTTCGGATAAGTGTGATGGTTTAGCCATCTTTTTTGGCCAGTTGGACCAACCATGGTCTCTCCCATAATTTCCTTCTATCAGCCCTCTTCCTTTGCTGCCTTCACTTTTATGTGCGGGTCATATAGGAATCATCATGAAAAGGGAGCTAGGGATGATCAAGCCTCTTCCACCTTTCATTTTGCAAGGTGGGGGCTTAACCATTCTTGGACGGAGATGCTTATTTCCCTTTCTGAACCATACTTTCAAGGCCATTTTTGGCCTGGAATGCCAGTCACCTTCAGAGCCTCTGCCTTGCCAACTTTTATTTTCATACTTTCTGCTAGGAGGGAAACTTGCCTCATAAGGAACTCTATTCCTTTCCAAACTCCTTGGACGGAATTCTGGTTTCCTTACTACTGACCTTCTTTATGTATAGACCCAGCTTTCCTTCTCTGGAATGATCACAGTAACTGAGTTTTCCATTTTCTGGAAAGTTAGCCGGTCATAGACCTTCCGTTTCTGACCTCATCGTCATTAGAGAGATTCTTTTTCTGCTTTTCTTTTGGAAAGTATTTATGGCAACTTTCATTCTGAATTTTACACTTGGGGCAACAACCCTGCTGGATTAAGGCTATCTGAGCCTCTCGGAGTTGATTTTCTAACTCGGCCACTATTTTCTCCATGGGTATTGTAGCTTCAGGAATTTCCAGTTTTCCATTGAACCCTGGATTTGTCAAGTCCATATTTTTCCAAGGGTGTTCCAAGGAAAGAGAAGTAACATTTGTGACAACGACCTTGGGGAAAGGATTTCCATCAACACCCGTGACTTCTAATTTTTCTGGAAACTTCAACTTGCTATCTTCGATTGCCTTCTGCACAATATTGCGGAATATAACACAATTGTTAGTGGAATACCTCCACGAATTGTGAAACTTGAAATAGTCTTTCTCGGCCATTTTAGAGGCCGTTGGCATCTTATGGCCTACTGTGAAGATCAGTTGTTTGTCAGCCATGAGCAAATCAAAGATTTGCTAGGCTTTAAAGATGTCAAAAGAGTAACTTTTGGAAGGGTCTACCCCCTACCACTTGAAACCAGAGGCGGCCTGCAAGTTGGCTGTGGCTGATTTGGGTTTTGCCAAAGCCTCCCAAATATAGGCATTCTTTATGTTAAGCTCGGCTATATTTACTTCCAATTCCCC